TCAAGCTAGTATGACTTTCATAAATGTTACCTCCTTTCCAAAAATTTCCATCAGTTCGACAATCACTTAGCAGTCCAAATCAAAAGTTTTTAGAATAATTAGAAATTGCATCATTTTGTGAAGTACTGAACAAATTGAAACATAAATGCTTGAAATTCCCAAAACTTCTGACATTTTTTGACAATCTGAACACTGCTGCTGTTACTACCTTTAGTTCCTTTAGGATTAGGTATGGGTAGAATAGAGACTTCTCCCTCATTCACTTTCTACATCCATACACTGTTAGGTTTACATTTCCTATTATTAAAATTGCAAAAGAGATGTGAGCATAGAAAAGTAAATCGAAATAAGTTTAATTTCTCGTAGACCTATACAACGGCACCAATAAATCAATTAATTAGCAGCATAGCTTTAATAGATTCCAACAAGGAATATACCAATTCCAATTCTTCGTATTGGTTAGGAATAGAAAGTCACCGTCACCAGACAGTTACTTTACCACTTATTGGATAATGAAAAGATCCTGAATTTGATTTTTTCGTCACAGAAAGCTTATTTTGAAAAACTAGTAATTTTTTTTTATAAAGTTTGATCAAAGGTCTCTGGACAACCGAGAAATGAAGTAGCGACAATAGATTCCGAATCCTCAATTCCAAAAACCTTTGGTAAAATTTTATAAATAATTACAACTGTCTTAAGATAAACTTTTCTGGACGAAAGAATCAAATTCAGGGATTTTCCGTTTCCTGACAACTGGTAACTATCTTTCCCTAGTATTAGTCTTGAAAACATTGGGATGGAATTATTAATTTATGTGTCTCTAATTTTCACAGTCATTATTGATTAATTGCCTTTCTTGTTAATAACATGTTCATTATAAAAGAATATTCCTTCCCCATTTCTCGCTGCTACTTGATAGTTCTGAAGTTCTGCACATTTCAAAAGTAAGAAATTGTAGTTTTTCCTTTTATGAACGACATATGATTTCGACAAAAATAACATTTGTATACTGTATAGTTTTCAACAATATACATAAATATCATATTCTGATTCTCTTTTCTTTTCTTTCACATAGGATTAAAAAATTTACAACGAAAATTTTATTTTATTGGTATGATTTTGTTTTTGACTTCTACATAAATAAATGTTTAAATCTATGATCTTTGTTTAAAGTGTTCGGGCAACAAGTTGACATTGATCATAATTTTTATCAGTAAGATTAGCTAAACGAACTTGATCGTATTCAACATAATTAAGTTGATGATAAGTTTGAAAACCTATTTGTTTAAAAGAATTTAATGAATAAATATTTGTTGCTTCAGCATAAGCTCCACCAATATTTAATTTTTTTGCATGTTCAGTACTAGCTGATATAAGAGTTGAAGCAAGACCATAACCACGATAATTACTATCAACATTAATAATAAATATATGAAGAAGAGAATCTGTTAGAAAATGATCAAATAAATTAATATTTTTATGCATATGATGAAGAAGATGAAGAATAAAATGAAGTTTTTCATTTGATTCATTGATTGTATTTGTATCATTTTTATATTTCACTTCGTTCAAACAAACACCTGCCAATTGATTTGTTTTTATATCATATGCAACAAATGAACATTTATCATTTAAAGCATCATTAATAACATTTTTAGCAAAATCCATTGGTTCTCCCAATTGAAGATATTTAGCCAAAGGTTCGTCACGAAAAAATGAATTTGTTAATAGAGTTAATACTGGAATGCGATCTTCTTCACACATCAAATGTACGTTAAATCGTGATGAAGGTAACATCGTTTTTTTAGAGAATGATACTTTTTTGATTATGTTTCACAGATGAAATATTGATTTGAAAAGAGAGGAAAAGGGATTCATTTTTCTTTGAATGAATATTTAATAGACACAATAGATTTTTTTTTTAATCATAGAATAAAAACGATGGTATGTTTTGACATTTCAACTATTTAATAACAATACTTTTGATCCGCTCTTTATTATAATCTCTATTTTTCTAATATTCAGATCAGACAAACTTCCGGTAAAACAAAGTAAAACAAAAAAGATATTCTGCGACATCGATCAGATCAAGTAAATTGTATTGGTTATATTATTAGAAACTCCCATTATAAGTTACAGCTAAAGTTGACTGGAGAACGGTCCATAAAATGGTTAATTGAGAATGATAATATGATAATACAGGAGATTAGAGATTCATAAGAGTAGACTATCAATGATTAACATGAGACGCAAACTTGAGAGAGAAATTCGATGAAATTTTTCACAAGAACCAATCAGATTTTTATTCAAAATATAGTGACACAGCTTAGCATACATTCAAATGAAAATTATTGTATGACCATAGTTACGCTGTTTCCTTATCGTATATTTTAATGAGTAAGGTCTTAAGAATAAGTAAAGTTTACATACATTTTAAAGTCTCTATCAGGTTTATCTTTGTTCTCTGGATGTGTACGAAATTGTCATCACTGACATCAATGCCATATTTTAATTCTATATTATTCTCAATCCTGAAAGGATGAGTTTACAGCACGAAAATTGAAACCACGTTTCTCACTCACAGAAACGGCATGTCGAAGTTCTATCAAAACCGACAGCAAGTTTTCGCGGAGCAAAGAACTCGAATTCGAATCCTATTTGCCTCGAGAGTTCATTGTTGGGTCAGGTTCCAATAGAAACCGACTTTTTGATGAAAAATTTCACCAAAGGTATTGAGGAAAGAAATGTTTGACTTTCCTGTCTATGTTGTTTGAAATGCTATTCTAGATCTTGAAAAGATGAGTCTTCACATGCTGATATGTTTATCCACGCTCTGATTGACTGAACATAATCGACCGATGAGATTTTTGCATATTAGAAGTCCAGCTAATCAGAGGTTTCTGTAAGCTGGTGTCCAACCAATTGAATTTCTGCATAGTTGGAATGAAGCTAATCTCAAGTTTTCATTGTTTGAACTTCGACCAAATAGAAGCGCACTTCATCCATAAAGAAAATAAAAGTTTAGCATTATGACAGAATGGATCAGAGGAAGTAAACGTCTTTCTATGACCAGATGAAAAAGTAAAGCCATAGGATTGACAGCAACAGCATTATGGCCATGATGACTCACTTGCTTAGACTGATGTTAATGTCTCATCTGCCTAGATCCACTATGATGACTCACCTGTTTAGATTGAATATGACCCATAGTATATCACACACACACAATAAACATAAGGTTTTCAGCAACTATATATACCAGTGCTGCTCAGCAGTTCTTCAAATCATACAAACATGATCGTCAGTTCCAGTAGAAGTAAGTATCTTCATACGAATGATTTACTCTTGTTGTGAGATAGGTTGGTAGCTACATAGATATGTAATTGAATAGGTGGTGAGATGATTATATATAGAAAATCACTGGCTTACGTGAGCATACACAACCGTTTAAGTATATTAGCAGGCTTTCATTCGTTAACTGCTTTTTATTCCTTTAAATTATTCGAAAATCATTTAGACTCACTTTACTAATTCATATTCATTAGAATTATTTTTCTTCGATTGTTATATCAATTCGATATTGTTCGAATCAAGTTTAATTTATTTCTTTTGCGAGATATATTCTTTAAGTAGATACTTATAAATCAAATCTAATCATTCCATCTTACCAATAGCGCATAATCAATTATCTGATTTAAATAGTCCGCTCCCATTAGTTACAAAATAAAGTCAATCAGATTTCTTTACTCTTATAACCATGACAATCGAAGAGTTTTACTACCTACGCTTGGATCTATGAAGTTTTATCATATATTAAATCCAGAATATCAGTGTGCAGTGGTGTAGGTGTCGGAAAAGATTGTGGATGATGAATGTGAGAGAAGAGATTAACTTCATCAGCTCATACTCAAACCTACATCCATACGCCAAAAAAAAACAAATTGTATAAATGCTATTCCATTGATGCGCATGGAGCAAATTTTTAGAAGTCGTTAGTGTAAAAGTCAACAGTTACATAATTTCGAATTTTCGAACATGGCACGTTGATTTTTGTAATGGAGTTGGTGCCTATTGGGGTGAACTTTTGTATTTTACTTATGAGGCATAAACCTCAGTATTTTAAAGTGACTAATTTTGGAAACTTGCTCTGCGTACATTAATATAGTATCATTCATGGAGGTTTTTTTTAAAACTTTTTCTTATTATTCTCTTAGATGACTACTGAAGTTATCTATGAAATACTTCATATGTAATTTTGTTGTCCATTCATACGAAAAGTTTCTTTGAATTTTATTTCAGTCTCATGTTGCAATATAGAATTCAATATTCTATACTAACTTTTTTTACTTTCAGGATTTAAGTAAGCGAGACTCCTAAAGCTGACACGTTACTTTTTTGACAGGAAATCTAGGATATTTTTTTCCCTTTGTAATAGCTCATTCTTTGTTGAGTTTTTTTTTCCTATACTTCTATGACACATATTTAACTATGATTTCAAATAGTAACAAAGTTGAGTCATCGAGTCAATAAATAACTTTTTTGTGTCAAATAACACATAGAAGGAAAATGCCATTCTACTCTTTGCTATAGAGAATGACGTGGATATCTATTATACGTCAATATTAAGAACACATAATGAGATATTTAATTAATTTCAGTTCTATTTATTACGATCATGCATTTTTTAATGGTAGATCATTTTTTCTATTGAATGCAGTGAGTCATTCACAGCTGATAGAGCAATTTCACATTAATTAAAACTGAAGGAAGAAGAAAATGACATCAATCAGTTTATATCAATAAATGAAAAAATTTCTGTCACTTGGAAATATACTAAATATCATATTTCTAATCTAGTGACTCATAAATCAACATAACTATATTCTTTCTTGCGTTCTGTTTATAGTTTTCATATATGCTACTGAATTTTCCAACCTATTACTTTATATATAATACGACGAATATTGAACATTCATTTTGAATAATATTTCTTAAATAAAATGGCTTCTAATTTTCTCACAGAATTTTCATCAAATTCAATTATCTTAGAACGTGTTACTAATTTAAATGCACAACATATTGATTTAGTTCATTGTCCAATTTGTTGTAATATTTTATGGAAACCTGTAGCATGTAATTTATGTGAAAATTCTTTTTGTTATCAATGTATTGAAAAATGGTTATTTGAACAACAAGAACAAATAATTGAATATATTGATAATGATAATGATAATGAAAATGATTATTTGATAAAATCATTATCTTTAACTCGATGTCCATTTAATTGTTCGCCTTATAAAGAACGAAAATGTTCACCATTATTAACGTCAATTTTATCAAAATTAACAATTGAATGTCGAAATAAACTCTATGGTTGTCAAGAAATTCTTCTTTATGAACAATTAGAAAAACATGAAGAAGAATTTTGTCAATATAAAATCATTCAATGTTCAGGTTGTAAACAAGATATGTTTAAATCAATTTTTGATAAAGAACACTTATTAAATTGTCCTTATATTGAATTAGAATGTAAAAAATGTCAAAGTATATTTAAACGAAAAGATAAACATAATAAATTTGATTGTATGGAACAGCAAATATGTTTATTAAAACAAAATATAATTACATGTGAACAAAAATCTTTGAAAATATTCGATATTCAAAGAAAAAAAACTGATATACTTGATGAAAAATTTGCTATCATTGAAGAAATCTATGGACATGACAATGATACAGATGATCATGATGATCAACAGACAAACAAAATAATAAATTCTATTGAAATGTTGACTCAATTATTTAGTTTTCAATTAATCAAAATATGGCAAATAATGATTGCAATTGGATTAATCATATTCATTTTATTAATATAATGTGTCATGCATAAACAATGACTTTCTAAATATTTTTCTGAATCTCTCTCTCTCTTTCTCTCAATTATTAAAGGTTTGACTTGAGTGTTTTCTTAAAAGATTGCTCCTGAGATTCTTTATAAAATTAAAAATAAAGTCCTATTTCTTTTACAAAATTAAGTATTGGTTTTCCTGTGATTAAATACTTTTGAGGTCATTCTAAAGAAATTATTCTATATTTTCAGATGAGCTCACGAGATTTTAGTGGTCGATATTCTTGAAAAATAGTTGAAACCATTAATGATTCTATTTATTCGAGTACCGTACCGCAGTAAAGTGCCTTTACAATAGTTCGCTCCAGTCTAACCCATAGAAGTATAGTTTCCTTCAATTTGGTTATAAATCTGAATCTTTTTTAGTTGTATATTTGACTTTCGTTAAATCAAAATTTTGATAAATTCCTAAAAATCCAAACAGTTATTTGAATGAAAGTAGACTTTTTTTAAGTATAGTACCACTGGTCGGATATGGTTTTCCGATTATACTTTTGAGCAGACATTTTTTATTTGAATTTTATAGAGATTTTTTAAGGACTATCTTTTGAAAAAAAAACCATTCGAATCAAAGCTTTAAAAATTGAGAAAGATATTCACACAATGTAATAATCAAGATATATGAATATTTATGGATCATTTGTAATTTCAAGCAAATTTAATTGAAATTTATATATTAGTTTTCATAATTTCAATGTATATTTGTTGATATTTGATTGATCACAAATGTAAAATTAATGAAAATTTTTGTTGTAATATATTTAAATTACATTGATTCTGCCTTTGTTTTATACGAATAATCAAAAAACAATAGTTGTCTATCGATTGTAAGAGACTTTATTGACCTGTCTCATTTTCTATATATTGAAGTAGAAGATATTCTTAGAAGGAAGTTTAGTTTTATGAATTAAATTTTATTTTGAAAATGAAAGGAAGACTATTCAATCAAGTCGAACTGTAGATCCAACGATTTATGATAAACTGTTGCCTACATATTGAATTCTTTTGTTTTGTTTCTTTTTTTTTCATCAAGAATAATGGGTGGATCGAGAGTTTTAAGATAAAATGTCTGTTTATCTTCTACGATCATTTGAAAGTATATCCGATGAATGCAGAAGTTATGGGTTAGGAATAAAATTTTATACTCTTTCTGAATATAAGCATAGAAATTTCGTCTTAGTATTTAGTAATATGGCAATCTTTGAAAGGCTAAAAAAAAATTATTTTTGAACGGAATATGTAGACTGAAGTTTCCGGTATCAATGTTTGCTCATTTTAGTCTGTGTGAAAGTATCTCAAACAAGCCAAAAACTGAAGATGATGATCAGAATTTCATGCTCTCTTTGACTATAGGAGTAGAAATATTGTGTCTATTTTTGTTCAATAATAATGAAAAAACTTTTAAAAGATCTTAAAATCAGACTGTATGATGAATCAACAGATTTTTGCTAACCACCACTACAAGTTCTTTTTCGAAGGTACCAATCTATTGGAGCTAGTTACTATGTCATCTGGATATTGCTTTGCGAAATGTTATATTCAACTAAGTTATAGCTTTTATCCAAGAGAAACGATGGGCACTTTGTCAACAGCTCCTTTCTATGCAAAACATTTTTTGGTCAAAGTATCGATTTTTTCAAAAATGAGAATTTGAAAAACAAAACAAAAATTGAAGCGCCCTGTCAAAAGATGAAAAAATTCAAATAGTACATTTTTTTAATGTAGCTTCTGCTCCACAAGTTGATTTATTAATAAATGTTCGAACTTTTACTTTTGAGTCATAATAGTGAAACTATAAAAGTTTGTGGAAAAGTTTTCTATTCGAGCTATTATTCGGGAGCTTTCAAAGATTACCTCATTAGTCTCGAACGAAAATTGAGACAATTTTTCAAAGCCAACAGTCGAAAAGAACTCAAATTTCTGGTTCTAACCTATAACTTTCGACTTATCAGAAACATTTTGTCTCAAAACTTTCGATCCATCCATTATTATACTGTTTGAAAGCAATTTACTTTTTCTACCTCCCTAGTTTTTTTAAAGTTCTTTTCATTATTTACGATCAAGAATATTTAATTATTTTCTGTTAATATAAATAAAACCTATACTTTAGAAAAAGTTCCTGTAGTTCACCGCTTTTACATCTAAAACAAAAAGAAAGAAGAGAACAAAAGTTTTCTTTTTATGATGTTGTTAAGTTATTAATAGATACATAACTAACATTGTGTCTACAAAATTTGAATATTTTTCAATCAAATAATGATATTGATGAAGATATAAATCAATATCGTAATGATTTAATTGTAATTCGAATTTATTTCATTGTACTGATATTAACTCGTAATCTATTGTTAATATCACTGACAACAAAAATTCCATTATATTATCCAATCCTCGATCAAGTTAAAATCCTCAAGTATGTTCAAGCGGTTTAATCCCTGACTAATGAATTCAACACATTTTTATTAGGGACAATTCCGTGGTTAGTTTCAAACACTTGTTTATTAAAATAATCTCTACAAGTCTATACCGTTACAACATTGTTTTACGTTTTGTCCATTTATTTTTACAATAATCATTGCATTATCATCATGTTCTACTTTTGAACTTATGTAACTGTGTCAGGTCCCTTATCACGATAAAAGTGCTTGACTATGAGTGTATTTACATTTGCTTTTGTGTTCTCGTCTACATGACTCTTTGCTTGTCTTTTTTCGTACTCTTTTATTTTATTATCTTTTTTTTCTTGATATATATATATTGTTAATACATCGTCATTACTGATTCAACAATTGTATCATTTGAAATTTAAATTGGTTAAGCTGACTAGTTAACTAAGAAAATATGAAACTCTTAATTCTTATTATTCTAATAATTTCCACTAGCAATGGTTATTTTACAGGATGTCCTATGGATGGCTGCGAAAGCACACTAAGTGGCTTTGTTGACGTAGCTGTTGATGGATTTGATGAAGATGTAAAATGGCGGCGTACTGACTTGCTAACAATTTCATCACGTGGTTGTGTATCGAATGGATTATCTTCGCTTATATGTGCTGTTGATGTCGGATATGTATCAATAAATATAACCAACGGTCAACTACTCTGGATCATTCCTCTTGAAATCCGAGGAAAAACAGAAACAGCATCATTACCTATAGTTAATTATAAAGGATTCTCGATCATTGCCAACAACACACAATGTGCATTAATTGATCCTCAGGGTGTTGCAAGAGGCATATTCAATTATGAACCAATATTGATTCCTCCACTAGCAGGTCCATTCGTGACAGATGATGGTCAAATTATTGTCGCCGATTTAGTTTCTGTAAGTTGTAATCATATTATGTATTATCCTGAAATATTATAGAACGTAGAACATGTATTTATTAAATTTTCAATCTTTATCAAGTCGAGGTATTTAGATTAAAAATCTACTTTTTTTCAGACTACTCTTCTGAATTTTTAAATAAATTGTACTCATTTCATTTTAACACAAATCTAAGATGATAGCTCGACAGAGCACTGCATAGTCAAAATGATCATCCATAGCTAAGCCGAGTCCGATATGAATCAGTTTATTTTGATAAGATTTATTTTTTCATTGCTGATTGCAAAGGATTTATTCGTGTCTAAAGAAGAAATCATTTTAGACCTTTAAAAATATCCGTTTTCTATCCAAAAACTTATCAGTCAAAAATAATTGTAACCTCATTTCCTTGATTGCTCGTGCACGAGAACAAGTTCGCAGATGGTTTAGAAGTATGAATTGATGATGTAGAAAACGATGTTTGATATCCAAAGATGATTTTTACTGATTAAATTTTGCTCTTAGTTTGTAGGTATAGAAGATACTGGTCTTCCACTTGGTGTTCAATCGTTGCCTCCTAACTTTTTTCGTCTATCTCGATCTATGAGTCTTAACAGACATGATGCCAGATGGTATTTGATTTCTCAGCACAATATTACTTATTCTCGAGCAATTATTGCTACTGAGACAACTGGTAGTATAGTGGATCGAATACGTATTGCCTGGATATACGAATATGGTATGCTACCAAATTCGTGTAATGGAATGGAAGGACCATTGCTATCAATGAATCAAAAATGGCTGTTTGTTGTTAATACCACAGGAATTCTAATCATTGCTGATAAAGGTGACTCAGCAAGTATTGAATACGTCGTTAGCTTTCCAGGTCTTTGTATCAATGATATGGCTTATTTTGAGGCAGACTCAACACTTCTCGTCGTCGATAAGCATTCGTATAATATTACTGCGTTGAATGTTTCCACTCGAATCATATCTTACACTTCTTTGACAGTTATCTGTCAAGAAGAGATTATTGGACAACTCTCTCGAATGACTATCATTCAAAATCATCGCTTAATCATAGTCGTGATCACAGCAACTCGTAAAGCTGTTCTACTGCTCGTCGATTACAGTCGTCATCAGCTTTTAGGACGTTTTGACCTTGGTTATGTGTCGCAGATTGCTACATTTGAACCCTTAACTCAACTGGCTTATACAGAAACCAATGACCAACAACTTTTTGTAACCATCGCTCATAAAGCTGTTGGCTTGGTCACAGTTCAACTTCGTATGTTTACAATGAAATCTATTATTACTCTCTAATTGATTTTCTTATTTTTAGTGACATCGAATCAATGATATAAAAAAAGTTGTTAAACATCTTTAACTTTCATCTGAACTAATAGTTGGACAACGATAATGATATTAACTTTCAACAATTCTCAGAAACTTTTTTACTAAAAATTGTAAATCCTTTCTCCTTGTTAAATATAACAGTTGTTCATCATATAGTATTTCTATTGTTACCAGGGGTGATTTAAAGATTATCATAGTCGTATCACAAACTGGAAAAGTCATGCAAATTTGAAAAGTTTATCTATAATAGAGATTGCTAATGAAGAGCATATTATCCGGAAAAGAAGAAAAAGTAGAATTTCGTTTATTATTCGTATACAAGACCGAATTTTATTTGTATATTTAAAAACAAATGCAAACAATCAAGATGAATGAAATAAACCATAGAAATTCTCAATGTTCACTGTATTTTTATTATCTTATTTAATTTAGAGAAACACTAACATAGAATCACGTTTTTTCACGAGTTCTTTGATTGAATGTTAACTATCTTGTTTACCTTTAATGAACTCATAGTGTTTATAACTCGTGTACTAATAAATAGTTGATTCCATATGTGATAGAAACTATTCGTATAATTTTCAAGTCCCATTTCTTGTTTATCTCTTGCAACAATAGTCGATATTGTCAATTACTGGCTTGATCAATTATAATGCAACATGACTTTAACTGAAGGTTGTACGATCATCTATTGAATATTAAATTATCTTGACAATGTTTATTAATATATCAATAAATAAATCTTGTGAAACAAGACTAAAAAAATCAAATTTTGAAGCAATAAATAGTTCTAAAGTATTTAATTCTTGTTGATATTTAATTATGAAAAAAACATTTTTTTTAAAGAAGAATCAGTTTAGAATATGCAGTACCTTTAATTGTTTATTGGTTGTTAATTATATTTTTTTTCATCACAAGATAAAGAATGTGTACATGATATCATATCTCAAGCTCACCATTACATAAAAAATAACAACAATCTTATTAATAAACAAATTAATGATAGAGACCATTGAATAATCGATAGGCGAAAAGTATCAACATCATTATCAGACTGCGTTCATCTAACTGACAAGAATAAAAATTTGATAAAGAAGAATTGGAAAAATTAGGTTATGCTAAGTTGTATCGGCAAGTATTAGCTACATTTTGAGGCCAATCCAAGATCTATATCATTGGATTTGGAGGAGAAATCTAGGACACTCAGACAAAAATAGACTTTTGATGAAGGACTTAGAGTTGATTTGGGTATTTTTAGAATTTAGAATTGACAAGTGACTATTGATGATGGGTGTATACTTCATTTATCTAACGAAACGCCTTCCTGTTTCTAATAAATATATATCACATATTTTTATTTAGATGATGCTATTCTTTATCTACTCATTATCTAGAGCATATAAAACGATATATTAATACATTCTTATGTTTCTAAATTGCTACTGATTATTGGGAAAATTGTTTTTTTTTTGTATGTTCTGTGAAAGAAAAGACAAGTTTATGTAATGAAAATTTTTTTAAAAAACAAAACAATAGATTTGTTTTCTTAAAAGAATAGAATAAGAAGTTTTTTCCTACAAATGACTTCTAACACTCATTCCAATAAATCGATCATTCGAAAGCAGCTCACTTTGAACAAAAAAAGTTACGAATCTTTGCAACGAAATAAATAAAAGAAATAAACATGCACCAATCCCAGTTCATCTGGATGCCAAATCGACTGCGCATCAATCTCAATAATATCTATCTAATAGGACACTATTTTAATTGAGCAACAGTCCGATTGGAATTAGTGTATGCCTAAAAAGAAAATAGATCGAACATTTTTTTTTTGTATTAGATTATTACAAACTAATATATAAAAAGACGTTCTAGTTTATCTTTTATAGACTTCATTTTTGATATTAATCATTGTTAAAACAAAACAACATATTTTATGCCATAGGTTTGATATATATTTTTCAATTTCAAATAATAAAAAAAAACCTTCTGTAATATACAAAATAAAATAAATAAGTAAATAATCTAATTATACAAAAATAAGAAAAAAACAACATAGTTGCTATTAGAAGTTATAATCTATAAAAAAATAAATTCATTTTAGTTCTTATAGCTAATATATTTGAACCGAAAAGAACAGCATTTACAGGTGATGGTTTATATTTTCCCATAGCTTTTATTGTTCCATTATTAAGAATATGAAAAATATGTGAAGTATTTCCTTCAATAACAAGCCATTCATCATATTTAATTGAACAACAACGAATAGTTTGTTGAAACCAATTTCTTTTAATACCAAGTTGAAGTGACCAAATACGATCAAGTGTTGTTGATGATCGAAGTTCTAAAAGAACAATATTATTTGATGAAACTTTAATTATTAATGCTAATGTTCCATTATTATAAGTAATATCATCAATATATTCATTTTTTTTACATGATAAAGGAGGTTTCCATCGTTTAACTAATTGAAATGATGATAAAAGATTAAATTCAAAAATATTTGTACCCATTATTGCATTTGTAAGAAATATTGATGTATCCGAACATGTACAAGACCACCAATAATGTTCTTCAGTCATTGAAATACGTTCAATTGATAAAGAATTATCTTTAATAAGAAAAATTTCTTTTTCATTATTAATAACAATAAAACTTGATAATATTGATGACCAACACATACTACGAATAAAACCATATGACCAAGATGATTGTTTAATGGTTTTTAAATCTCGATCAAGTAAAGAAATATTTGGATATTGATCTATTAATAAAACTCGATCATTATTAGCCATTGCTGGCCAACTTTCATCAGTACATTCAAATTTTCTATATGCTTTTGAAAGTTTTAATAAATCTAATTCATATAATTTAGGTTCTTCAATAGAAATTAAATTTTCGTTTATTATTAATGGATGAAAATCAATTTCCATTGGTTTTATTTTTATTTGAATAAGTTTTCGTTTAACATCACTTATATTTAATTTTAATGTTTCAAGGTCATCTATTGTAATATTTTGTTCACATATGAATTTCATCATTTTTGATCGTATCTGATCAATTTCTATCTGTAATGAATCAATTCGTTGAATATAATGTTGATTTAATTCTTGACATTTTTTTTCATAATATTTATTAATCATCATATGACAATCATCACGCCATTGATTAAGTTTTTCACGAGAATTATCTGTTAATTCTTCAATATTTAACTTTATTAATTGATCAGTAAGTGTATTGATATCATCAACTAATGGATTTATTTCAGAATCAATCGATTCATCATGCCATTTTAAATGTTCAAGACAAAGATTTTTATTACAACAATGACATAAAACACGTGACGTATATTTACATCCATCAATAACGCATGGTTGAGGCATAATTTCAATAGTAAAAATGTATACTATAGGGGAGGAAAACTATCGATATATGATGTGAAGAGAAAAAAAAAGAAAAGAATAAAGAAATACATTCGATTTTTTTCTTTTGACTCTTTTCAATGGAAAACGAAAAAATATTTGCTTGTCATACGAGAAGAAAAATAAAAATAAACAATGGTGACACTGACTGTTGCGCGTTCTTTTTTACTTGCAAACGTAAAAATGATATTTTACATGAACAGTACTGCACTCAAGGTGTAATTTGACCTTGCTATAAACAGAAAATTATTTTTCGAAAAAAAAACTCAATTATTTAATGATATTATTTGTCTTAAATGAAAGACGATATTTCCTCATTTTAAAATGAATTACTATTCAATATTTATACTGTTCCTATAAAAATATACGATCAAGGCATAGTGAAGACATGAAAAAAAAATGACCATAATCTTTAGTCAAGTTCTTTTTTAAAAATAAAATGCAATCAAATCAAAAATAGAAAGAATCCTATCAACATCTCAATTTAATGGATAGTAATCATCCAGATTGACTTGATTACTTACAAGAACAAATGAAGCAAAGATTTGTATTTTTTTTAGGTTCGAATAATGTCATGACTTATTGTTTTATGGTCATAAGTACGGTTAAAATAAATACAATCACTCCTTTATTACGAATCACCTTTGTCATTTTCATCGTTATATACATTAATCGTAGAGCAAAAAATTCATAGGTCATATTCAATTCAAACATTTCAAGTTGTATGAGTACAAATCACTTTTTTTTGCCAGCTTGCCTATTATTTCTACATAGTTAGTTCTATTCAGAGATGTGGTTCTTTGTGACATATATCAAATTACATAGAGTCGTCGAATTTTAATACTTTTCTTTTTCTAATACGATACTATCATGTTATTATATTTCAATTTAATCGGTCTAGTTTATTCAAATATGAATTGTTTTTCACCAGAATAGTAAATCGACTCGGCTTTTTTTTTCTTATTTGATTTCTTCGAAGAAGACTAAGGAATGTATATATATATATATATATGTATGTCCATGTTATCTTCGTATATTCTACCGCAGTACGAAGTATCTATACAGTGATTCGTTAAGAATTTTTCTTTTTAGATGTACAAACATCAAGAGTTTATCATTTTGTATCACAATGATTTCTAGAATGAAATGTCAGAAATTATTCATTTAAATAGAATATAAAAATAACAAGAACGAATCGACACAATCTATTTTCTAATCTTTAATATAAAGCTTCCTTTGTTTACAGATACCTTGACAAAAAAAAAATTAAATTTTTGTGAGTTTCATCTTTTCTATTTTTAAACAATCGAGATAATAATAAAAAGAAGTAAAAAAAATATTACTGAATAAAAAATTTTATTTTATTATCTTTTCTTTTAATAAATATTCTACTTTATATACAATTAAATATAACGTCATGCGTTATTTTGAGTAGAGATATTAATAGTTATTAACGAAAGACTTTAAAAATAAAATTTCTTATTCGATAGTTTTTTATTTACTTTTTGATTATCAAATGCATTCATCGAACAATAATGAACACAGATTCAAGAATAAAACTAATTAAAACAAATACAAAAA